TAATAAACCGGTTAGAAAGAAATGATTTGATAATCTCAAAAACTTTCCCAAAAACACCATATGAAGCAAGCTTATGGAGAAGACCAGCATGCCAAACTTTGTCGAAAGTTTTAGATATGTCGAGAACAATAGCTCTAGCCTCACCGCCTCTATCTAATGCAAAATAAAATTTTTCAGTCACAGCAGAACGATAGGATCGAAAACCGTATTGATTGTCTGACAGTAGTTTATTTGACTCAAGATGAGATGTGAGAAATTTGTTGATCTCTTAAAAGGTAGCTTCTCTTGTGCCATCTACAAAAATTCATTCTCGAGTTACTCGTCATTCAATTAAGTCTCATCTTTTTTTCTGTGACTGTTTCCAAGTGCTCCAAAAACTCTTATTTGTCTAATTTTTTTCATGGAACATCTGTTCTTTGGAATTCGCTATCTTTATTTTGCTTTCCTGGTTCATATAATTTGCAATCTTTTAAGTTGTCTGTCAATCGTTATCTTGTTCTGCAAACTTTATTTTTTCTGTTCCACTAACTTCCAACTCCAATAGTGGTTGCTTGCAGCTTTGTTGGAAGCAAAGATATTGAAAAAAAACATCCAATAGTGGTTGCTTGCAGCTTTGTTGGAAGCAAAGACATTGAAAAAAAAAAGTAATCAGTGCAATATTTGCTGACTTAAACGTATTGCTAACCTATCTATATAAAAATGACACATAAAATCAATTAGATTCTATTAACCTTTCTACTGTTTTTTTACTGAGTATACCATTACTCTAAAATGTCTAAAATAATGAAAAATATTTCAAAAATTTGGCTGTGGAGTGGTTTTCAAATCAAACCCTTTTTTAAAAATGTTGCTAATATCTAAAAAAACAAATATAAATTAACACATAATAGTCAACCCGGGACTTATTTAGTTGAATGCAAATGAATTATGTAGGCAAAACAAAACTTCAAATTAGGTCTCAAACTCCATAGCATTTAAAATGTTTAAAAATGAGCAAACATTAATTGTCTACACCCTGTGGGAAATAAGCTTACTAGCTGGCTAGTTGCTACCAATGGGGAAAAGACGCATTAAATTCGTAGTAAGACGTGTTTGAGACGTTTTAAATATGTCTTTTATAATCACGCTATCTTTTATTTTACAAGGCATTAGCTATCCATTTAATGAAGATTTACTAGAATTATTTTATACTGCTCATTTTGCAGAACGGTAGTTAGTAAATATCCATTAGCTTTTCTCAGATCAAATAGAAGTTAGAAGTGGTAGAAGTTAAAACACTTTTAACGGTACTGATTAATGAATTGATCATAAGTGTGTAAAATTCTTACACAAATGTGTGAAGAACTTATATAGAAATATTGTAAATATAAATAAATATTAACATCAAAATATATTTAAAACAAAAAGTTTATACGCTGCTTTTTTAATCAAACTCATTAAACAGAAATATTCGTATAACAAGAAAATGTTTTTAAAATATATATGTTATATTTTATAATAAAGTTCAAAAATAAGGTAAAAAGTTTGGAAAGAAGGAGGGAAAGGGGTTGCAATGCAAAACAGACCATAATAGATATTTTTGAATAAAAACTAATATAGAATTTAGACAATATTGTTACCTTAACTAAATTTGGAATTAGAAAAAAATATAAGGTCTCCGCTTCAAAGGTTATTTTTTTATATGTTATATAAATTTTTTTTTATTTTTATAAATGGTTGCTATGCACAGTGGGCCAGAATGGCAAATTTTGAAGCAAAACTAATAACTTATTTATTATTAGTGCTATATTCATCAAATTTGGCACAAATACTAATACGAGGCGTGGGCTTCTTTTAAAGGTTTTTTTTTTTTTTTTTTGGTTGCTATGGATATCTTATTTTGCATAGAACAAGTTATTTTTGGGAGTTGCAGGGTTTTTTTAATTCTATTTTTACTATATTTGTTATGCGTATTCATATAAAGTCAATGATAATTATGAAAATAGTTTTTTTTATTTGGTTGCTATGGATATCTAATTTTGCATAGCAACAACCTTTTTATGCTATTTTTAGTGTTTATTTGTATTGTGTACAGTATATTTGGTACTTGTATTTCTTATTGTTTCTATATTTCTTATTTTTTATCGGTTGTATACTTAAAAAAAAAAAAACGGTTTTGTCCACTACTTGGGCCATTGTGCATGTATCTCTCTCTTTTATTATCAAAATTTTTAAAAAACCTAGCTAAATATCAAAATATGAAAACTATTATTTTTGTCTTGTTATTTTGTAAAAACGTAAACTACATCCTATCGCATTTTATTCTTTAAAAAACAAGTTCATAAATTTTAAAGTTACCTATACCGTCACAGTTAAACATCTGCTATTGAAAACATATTTTTTTGTGGTTTTACAAACTATAAAGTATTATACCAAATTATTTATTCGAAAGTTTATCAAAAAAATATTTATCGTAATGATAAATGGTGATAAATTTATAAAATTTAGTCAATGATTTGTAGGTAATTATATTGTTTTTTAGTATAGCAACTTATAAAAATTCATGTACAAAATATTTATAAAATGTACAGTCTAGTTTTTATTTTAGAAAATGAAAAAATGTGAATTATTCCATTATGTAAGAGATAACAATTAGAGTATTTTATCTAAATATATCAATAATAATTTAAGTACATATATTGGTGGTAATAGTTTAAAAATAGATCAATTTATTTTGTTGTATAAAAGAAAATGGAATAGATGTAAAAGAAATAACTTTTTTTTTGAAAAGAAATTTAGCTCCTGGTTAGAAAAAGACTTATATGCAAAAACTAAAAAGTTTAAAAAAGGCGGATGACCAAAAATTAATTTCAATAAAGCATCAATTAAAAAAAAACAAAGAAGAATAAGCAGTTTGTTGAAAGAAAATAAACCAGAAAAAATATTATTTGCTGCAAGTAAAAAATGTGAAAAAAATAGGAAATTTACCATGCGCAAAAACATTTTTAGCTGATAAAGCGCTTGCCTTAGTTTTAGATTGTGGGCTCACTAAAAATGCACATCAAGTTATATGACCTTCAGCAGCAATTACAATAACTTGTATCTAGCATATAATAATGTTAAAGAATCTAAAAAACAGAGCTATCCAGATATGTAACCTTGGATGTTTACAGTTATTCAGAATCTCCTAAATCATGCAGCATTAAGATCGGTCTCTTTACAAAGTAATGCTTTTTTACAAAGTTTTATATCAAGATTAACTTTTAAAATCAAAAGTTGGTTTTGATGGTGCAACAGGTCAGATCAAGATCTACGCAATCTTAGTGTCAAAGGAAGCCTGATTATTACCTGCTTTGTTCCATTAGAGTTAAGTGGATTTATTGGTACAGAAAAAAAAGTAATCTGGCTAAATCCTCGTCCTTCTTCAACAATGTTTTGCAGACCAATAAGTTTAGATATGTAAAAGAAACAAATAAAGTCATCAAAACAGAGAAACAGTTCATTGAAAGTCATTAAAACTTTAAGAGTTTTATCAAATGGTTCAACAGTACAACATATATTAGAATTAACCATGATAGATGGAAAGGTTGCTAATGCACTGTCTAAAAAAACAAATTCGGCTCAACGTTGCTCAGTGTGTGGAATAACTCCATCCAAGATGAATAACAATGATGCATGCTAAAAAAAAAGTTACAACTTACAAACTGAGCTTAAGTATGGGTTGTCAACATTACATGCCTGGAAACAGTTCATTGAATGCTTTATACATGATGCCTACAAGTTTGAAATAAAGAAATGGCGAGTATATGGAGCTATCAACAACAGTCTATAAAAAAAAAAGAATAAATTTCTACGCAAATTAATTGAAGAAATTGGTTTAGTTGTTAATATGCCTAAAGCTAATGGCTCTGGCCATGCTGGTGAGAATTCATAAAATTCTTTTTCGTGGTCATTAAGTATTAAAAAGAATGTTTCTTCCAATAGGCATGTTATCAGACAAAGCTCAAGAAGCAACAAACAAACTTTTTAAAAAAAACGTAAATATTTTAGTCGTAAAATATCCAGAGTGAAGAACAATAAAAACTTACTAAGACAACTACTATGTTCATCTGATCTATATATTAGCAGTTTGAGGAAAACCAGTATCAAATTCTAATAAAATTTAACTTCCACATTAAGCAGTTAAACTATTAAAATTGTCAATCTTCAAACATGATATCTAAGTTACATCTTTACTAAAACAATTTTGTTATTTTAATTTGAATTATTATTTGTACAGCTACAGTGCAGTGCTTTATGAATAAGTTACAATTACAATGATTTATCTTTGCGATAAATGTAATATATATACCACACTAGCAAAGAAACAGGGGGCGAAGGGAACAATTGCCCCCTCCCCCAACCTACCCAAAAATCCCATTTTTCATTCTAATTCTAGCTGGTTTAACCCCTCTTCTTTTTTTTTAGCCCTCTTAGTTTTCTTGACCTTCCTGAGCCACTGGTTTACGATACTTTAATTTATAGATAAAGTTTGTGCTTATTTAAAAACTATAAAATTCACAGTTATATTTAACATTCGCGAAAATACGGAGTATTTCACAAATTTTGTATAAAACTGAATATGACAACAAAAAGCTTGAAGTATCCATAGCATCAATTATAAAAAAATAACCCTCAAAGTAAAAACCTTATATTTTTTACTAACTCCAAATTTAGTTAATATAACAATATCGGTTAAAATCTATATTAGTTTTGATAATGCAATATGTAAAAAAAGAACTCTCTAAAGTATTTAAAAACTATAAAACAACAAAACTTAAAAAAACCTTTATCTATTTTCATATTTACATAATATAAAATAAAAATTGAAATTATAAAAAAAAATGAATTTTTTTTTTATCATTCAAAGAAAAACAATCTTTTATAAAATTAGAATATACTAAAATCTACAACTTTTTATAAGAATTATTTCATTATTTATTATAATAACTACTAAGAAATATATTTTTTAAATGTCTTACCTTTTACAAGTTTCACAGCAACATTTGAATTGTTTTCTGTAATACCATGAAAGTTATGTTTCATTATCTTCATATTTGATAAAACCGAAGAATTAAGTTTTGCAATAAAAACAGTGCCAAATGCTCCTTCGCCAATTTTCCGATCTATACTAATATCTTGAGGGAATATCTCCCACTTATCTGCTGATAGTTTATCGCACCCATTGTGATGTCTAAAGATATAAACAGACACATAAACACACAAGCATTAATATATATATATATATATATATATATATATATATATATATATATATATATATATATATATATATATATATATATATATATATATATATATATATATATATATATATATATATATATATATATATATATATATATATATATATATATATATATACATATATATATGTATATATATATATATATATATATATATATATATATATATATATATATATATATATATATATATATATCAGGCTTTCCCAGGAAAGGCGTGCGGTCGCACGCCTTGTTTGTCCACGCATAAAATAAATTTTTCTGACTAACTGACCACGTTTTGTTATTACGCATTTCAAAAATGCGCGCCAAAACAAAGCTAAACAAAAATACCGCAAAAATGCAAGCAATCTTAAAGTAAATAACAGAAATCTGTTTGTGCTTTAAAACTAAAAAGTTAATGTATATTATTAAAAAAAATTTTTACCTATATTTTATTTATTTATCTATATATTTTTTTTAGGGTGGTAGTTATTTTAGCTATGAAAAATCAAATCAATAAGAAAAATAAAATCAAAAGAAAAAAGGTTATAGTTTAATGAAAATAAAAGGACCTTTTAATGTAAAATTTGTTTATGTTTTTATCAGTCAGTAATACTTTAAAATTCACGATAGAACTACAAACAATTTTTAAATGTTTCGTAAATACATTTAAATGTTTAAATGTATTGATACGCAAAAAAGCGCGAAAACAATTGCTATTTATTTGTAAAAAATTTTTTTTTTAATTTTCCATTGAAAGAAAATTTTATTGAGTTTATTTTATTTTGCAATCATTAATTGACATTGTTAACAAGTGTTAATATATAATAATGTCCCGAAGGAACTGTTTTCATAACAATGACAACAGAAGCAATGCAGTTATTTTTTTAACTTCTTTCGTAATTACAAAATTATGCAATTGAATAATTTCAACGTAATAAAAGGCGAGCATTGACTCAGTATAATTAGTTTAGAATAAGTCGAGAGAACTTTTTTCACATTAAAATTTTGTTATGTTTAAAATCTCAAATAATATATTTAATAATTAAAACAGCAATTTATTTTCTTGTCCAAGTATTGGGATATAACGTCATCGCCTTTGCATAAACCTTCGTAAAAACTAAATTAAATGAAAAAATTTAACTAAATTTGTCTGGCGTAAATAATGAATCAGTTTTTTAATACGTTGTCTGATAAAGTTCGTGAATAAATAACATATCAATCTTTTTATTTTCATAAAAACTTAATGACTTATAGTCGTCTTTTCCTTGACTTGTATCAAATTTCGTAGCTGAAAATAGCAACCCTAATAAAAAAAAAAAACAACAGTATAAAAATTTTGAAAAAAATGTTCAAGACCTTTTTTTTTTTTGTTACAATAATTTTTTTTTTTGAATTTTTTTTTTATTATTAAAATATTTTTTTTACATCCAATTTCAATTTTATACCTTGTTTAGACTTCGTTTCCTTTTTTTAATATTATTTTTTATTCTCTGTGGATAAGTTTCGCTTTCCCACGAAATATTGCCGTGGTCACGTTTTCTGAAAAATTTATTCTATTCGTGGACAAACAAGGCGTGCGACCGCACGCCTTTCCTGGGAAAACCTGATATATATATATATACATATATATATATATATATATATATATATATATATATATATATATATATATATATATATATATATATATATATATATATATATATATATATATATATATATATATATATATATATATATATATATATATATATTAGGGCCCTGCAAATCGCTTCTATTCAATTTGATTCGCGAATCAAATATCGTTTCAATTCAAGATTCAATTTGAAAAAAATGATTAGAATTTTTCGAATCGTTTTAAATTACTTAATGTTTTCATACAAACTGCGCTTAAATGTTTTCAAAAACATTTTAAGCCAAAAATCAAAAGTTAACGCAGTTTTATTTTTTGTGTCTTTAATGTTTGACTTTGCTTTCACTAAAGTAATTTTAAATTCGATACTTTTTGTTTGTGCTACATGAAGCTATTTTCCCATCAATCTTTAAAATGACAATGCAAAAAAGAAAATTGCAACTAAAAGTATTTTGTTCAGAAAACTGGAACTTTATCTCATCTATGGAACCATTTAAAACGTGACCATAAAAAACTACTTGTAGAAGCAACAAAAAAACGCACATCTGCTTATAAAAGAAAATATAATTCCGAAAACACAATCGAGCACTAGTCAAGTTCCTCGTTAAATTGGTATTATATTTGATACCCAATAGATACAGTTATTAAAAAAAACTACGATCGTGCAGTGCTTAGATTTATAATTGAAGATGGAAAATCATTCAAGACAACTTCTTGATCTGGCTTTAATAATCTGTGATCGATGATTCCCAAGGGCAATATCATCCACCACACCAGGCCACTTTAATTTAGAATTTAGGTGATATAGTCGAAGATTTATATATTAACTTCCAACAAAGTATAAAAAGCCAGTTTATTTCTAAACCTAGCATCACTTTTGATCACCTTAAAGCCGAAAATGACGATAATTTTTTTGTTTCTACTAGTCACTTTATTTCATCCTCTTGGGTTTAAGAATCATGCAGTTTATCAGTTGTAAGTCTGGAAGTAATAAAAGCTTGTAACAATGCTACTTCTACTGAAGAATTATTAAGAAACGTGTCAAAATTTGACTTGACTGCAGATAGTATTTTTCCTCCTACAACCAATATTACTCATGCCATACTTCAAACAATACTACTACTATGCCATGCACATTTAATTTTTCTTGGAATTGATTGACTAGGCTGTTGGGCTCATAAACTCCAACTTTGTGTAAAATCAGCCAACCACAACTAACCAATTTTTGTTACATTGATTAGCAAGGCTCAAAAAATAGTAGAATTTTTTTACTCATTATCAGTTTGGAGTCAAAGCCTCCAATGGATATGAAAACGTGCTTTAACAGCACTTCTAACTTAATGGAATGGATTTAAAACAATCATGGTTCTGTATAAATTGCTCTAGTTGAGTGTTCACTAAAAAAAACAGTATGAAAATACCACCAACTTGTCTAACTGAAACACAAATGTAGTTATTAACAACAGTCACTCCTATTCTTAATGCATTATCTGAAGCCACTACTATACTAAGAGAAGAAAAAAGCGTAAGCATTAGTTTAGTTTATTCGTGCATTTCAACTTTATAAAATCTTAGCCTAATGAATAAAAGAAAGATAGGTAAATTTTTTTACGATCATACAACACATTTGGAAATGAGGTTCGATTTAAGTAAAGACGTTTTTCTTACCGCTACTTTCTTAGACTCTCAATTTAAATCAGAAATTTTTACTTTGGCAGAGATACATATCGTAAAATCTAATCTAATAACACCTGAAAAAAAACACGACTTAAATATTATTATGATTCTCGCTGAAATTCAACTCGAAATAGCAAATTTGTAATCTGAAGCAAATGTTTGAACATATCACTAAAAATCGCATTCTAACAGAGAAAAGAACTATAGATCAGCAAATAAATTTTGAAACTACTGCATACATCAAAGAGAAAACGTTGGGATGTTTAAACAATTGTAACATTTTCCTTTTATAATCCAAAGATGCAACTAATTTTCTTGCTGTTCAAGTTGTTTATCTGAAAGAGTTAACTCTGTAGAAGGAGTGATTGATAGTAAACGCAATAGTCTTTGCGATTTGAAATTCGATTCGCAGAAACTAGAAATGTCGATTGGCAGGGCCCTAATATATATATGTATATATATATATATATATATATATATATATATATATATATATATATATATATATATATATATATATATATATATATATATATATATATATATATATATATATATATATATATATATATATATATATATATAAATGTATACTTTTTTTTTTGTGTGTGTGTGCGTTCTTATTACAATATATTCAAAGAAAAATTAATTAATTTAAAATTAGATCGTTAGGAAAAATTTACAGTTAGATTGTTAAGAAAATTTTTCAATTAGGTTGTTAAAAACGTTACTCAATAAAAAATAACTAAAAAATAAAACTAAGACTTTTTTGTTAATATAAAAAGGACGCGGAGACTCGCAGAAGACCATTAGGTTTTGTCACCAAGAACCGCTCGTAAATTAAAACTTCATAAAATTTAATATATGTAAAGTTCCACGCGGTTATTAAAACAAATCTCGTTTTAAAAAATAAAAATAATGAATTTTTTTTTCCATTACTATAAGTATATAGTCTTAAATGTTAAAAAAAAAAAATTAAATAAAAAAAAAAAAAAAAATTGAACAAGCTATTTATAGATTTTAAAGTAAACGGAAAAAGTATAATTTCATTTAAGAAAAAGTGTTTAACTTTCATTATTTTTTTAAAATCTTGTAGTAATCCAAAATTTTTCCAATTAGTTTTAAATTGGTCGGCTGCAAAGCTGGTTTAATATGTTAAAGCACTAACATTTAATTTTTAGTTATTTCACGCGATATAAGCAAAATAGTTTTTTACACAATCATGATGCGTAGCTGACCGCTGGGAAGGAAAAGTTGTCTTTTTTCATCAATTTAAATTTTTTTTTCAATCCTTGTCGATTATTTACGTCAACTAATTAGCCATATTAAGGTTTTGCAATAATTAAAAAAAATTGGCATCAAATAGTTAAAAAAAAACCACTCAACTTCCTGTTGCATAGCTGACTGCCAAAACTAAACATTTAAATGTCGCAAATTTTGTCAATTTTTTTAAATGCAACAAATAGTTTTGCCCAAACTATTTTGAACTTCAAAACATTTATAGTCAATTAGAAATTATTTAAAACTCCAAAAGACTTTATAGTCAATATAAAGATATGGAATCACTGCAGGATCCAGTTGCTTGCGCATCCAATGAAAATAAAAAAGGTGAGCATTGTGTTTTTATAGAGT